TGCCTCTAGGCTTTCGAGTGTTTCAAGGTACAGTAGCACCACCCTTTGGTAGAGCAGGTGTTGCACCCTGGCAGACAGAAACAGGAAACCAGCGACCCATGTTAGTTCTTGTTGTGGATCTCAGCAGCTTTACATGCCTGTTGTACAATCTGTCGTAATCAAGGGATTTAGCCCATGTGAGCATTGCCTGTAAGTCATTTCTTACTGTTTACAAGTTTATCTTGCAATATCCAAGAGTATTTATGATTGATGAGACTGTCTTTGCTTGTATTAGCTTAATGAAGCTGGCTGTAGGTTAGGCTGTTAGGCTAGCATATGTACATGCGTTAGCACTCTATCTTTTATATAGTCATGCTTAGCTAACATGTTCAAACCTCCATCATTTGTATGTTAGTAATTCAAAATATGTTTTATCATTTTCAGTTTACTCCTTTGTTGTACCAACATGCTCTTCAAGAGTCTACACTAAAATTGGAGCTAGAATGCTAAATCCTGACTCTCGTGTTGTTATTCTGGGAGTTTGGCTGGCTGTCTAATTTTGGTTAAGCCAAACCATTAGGAGGACAGTACAGTAAAAGGCATTTGACAAGCCGGCTATCAACCTCTACAACAGTTCTACACTGCATGCAAACTGTATAACAGTGGTATGGATCGAGCCAAGACAATGATAACGCATCTCAAGTCAGTGCTAGTAGCCGGAGTACTTCAGCATCAGCAGTCAGTGCAGCAGCTAGAGCACGTGCTAAAGCAGAAGCAGCATGCGCACGTTGCAGCATTCGCAGACAAAGAGATTAAATTGAAGTTGGAGAAAGCAAGACTGGATGCTGAATTAGAAGCTTTAGCTCTCCAGAGAGAGGCAGCCGCAGCCGTAGTGCAAGCAGAAGTGTTGGAAGCAGCTGAAGAGCAGGTTAAAGAACCTCGAAGCAAGAGCAGTAAAGCTTCAGTAAAAAGAGAGCTTGATCGCACAAGTGCATATGTACAGCAACAGAATGAGCTACATATAGCGTCGTGTCATGAAATCCCTGCATCTTCGCTCATCAGCATGATGACAGCTTAGTTACATGGGGAAGTGAATATGGAATTCACCGAACTGACCCGTCCTTTCCATTATCAGAACGGCTAAACGGCATATCTCTTCTTTCAACACAGCAGCCCCTAGAGAGCCTTCTCACGTCAACAGAACCTATCATGGTGACAATAAGCCAGACATTCAGAGCATGAACCCTTCCGCTCAACCATACATGCCTCAGTATCGCACCGCAACCGCTGATCCCATCAAGACGCCTGAAATGGCAGACTTTGTCAAGTATTAGCTCGCAGAGAGTTAGTCACCACAGGACTTAATCAGTTTGACGACCAACCTGAGAGTTTAGAGCATGGCAGTCTTCTTTTGTAACGCTGTAAGAGGACTTGGTCTCTCACCCAGTGAAGAACTGGATCTCCTGATCAAATGGCTAGGTAAAGAATCATCTCAGCACGTCAGGAGAATTCGTCAAGCATATGTCAACAATCCAGATAAGGCACTGGAAAAAGCATGGGACAGATTAAGTAAGTGTTATGCTTCGCCTGAAGTAATCGAAAGTGCTCTTTCAAGAAACTAGATGCATTTCCGAAGATTCCTGGTAAGGATTACATCAAACTCAGAGAATTAGGAGACCTTCTCATGGAGTTACAATCTGCAAAGAAGATGGATACTTACCAGGGTTAGCTTTCCTGGACACAGCTCGAGGCATTGGTCCCATAGTAGAAAAACTCCCACATGCCCTACAGGAAAAATGGTATCCCAAGGTTCCAGGTTCAAAGACGAGCACAACGGTCTTTTCCCTCCATTCTCCTTCTTTGCTAAGTTTATCTGCTATGAAGCTCACATCAGAAACGATCCAAGTTTCACTCTTCCCAGCAATAGCTATCCTCCCATAAGGGACAAATCAGCCTACAGAACTGGAAGGATCCCAATAGCAGTTCACAAGACAGATGTTGCCTCAGGAACCGAACGTGAAATTAACCATGTTCCAAAACAAGGCGATAGTCCAGGCAAAAGTTGTCCAATCCATCGCAAACCACACCCATTAAGGAAGTGCCGTGAGTTTAGGGCAAAACAACTTGATATGAGAAAAGCATTCCTTCGTGAAAATGGTATATGCTATAAGTGCTGTGCATCGACTTCCCATGTAGCCAAAGATTGTCAAGTCTCTGTGAAATGCACTGAATGTGGAAGCAATCGTCATGTTTCAGCCTTGCATCCTGGTCCAGCACCGCAAGCTCCTAAAACTCCAGTCCCAGTACCAGAACGCAGTGAAATGGAAGAGGAGCTTTCACCTGAAGTAGCCATCACCACACACTGCACAGAGATTTGTGGTGAAGGGCAGCCAGCAGTATCCTGTGCCAAAATATGTTTGGCTCGAGTGTTTCCTCAGGGGCAACGTGATAAAGCAGTCAAGGTATATGTAGTTCTCGATGACCAAAGTAATCGCTCGTTGGCTAGGCCAGAATTTCTTTGAGCTGTTGATCTCCAAGGTTGTTCCACTCCTTATTTACTAAGAACATGTGCTGGAGTTAACGAAGTGTTCGGGAGAAAAGCAGAAGGCTTCCAAATTGAACCTGTGAATGGAGACTTACTCTCGCATTACCACCACTGATTGAGTGTGACCAAATTCCCGCCAACAGGTCAGAAATTCCAACACCTAAAATAGCGCTCTTACATCCTCATCTGAAAACCATAGCAACTCATATCCCCAATCTTGATTCAAATGCCCAAATCCTTCTTTTGTTGGGCAGAGACATTGTAAGGGTGCACAAGGTACGACAACAGATCAACGGACCGCACAGTGCACCGTTTGCGCAGAAGTCTGATCTGGGTTGGGTGGTAATTGGAGAGGTATGTATTGGGAAAGCTCACAAACCAGATGTGCACACTTTCAAGACCCATGTGCTAGAGAATGGACGTTCATCTTACTTTAAACCTTGTGACAACTGCATGCACATAAAGGAAAAAGTGTGTCATGGCGGGGAGCAACGGGACAGTTTCATCAGCGCTCGCAAACCCCATCTGCAGAGAGACACAGGACAAAACCTAGGTCACAGTGTGTTTCAGACAACCAAAAGTGACAACAAGCTTGCTCTGTCTGTTGAAGATACAGCCTTTCTAGAGATCATGAACACAGAGGTATACAGAGATGAGGAAAACAACTGGGTTGCACCATTACCATTCAGAGTGCCACGAGTGAGGCTGCCAAATAATCGTAGACAAGCCCTCTCTCGACTTACTTCACTCTGTAGAATGCTGGAAAGGAGACCTGTAATGAAGCAGCAGTTCTTGGCCTTCATGGAAAAGATCTTTGCAGATGACCATGCTGAGCCAGTCGCTCCGGTAGATAGAGACAAGGAGTGTTGGTATCTGCCAATGTTTGGCATTTACCACCCACAAAAGCCTGATCAAATAAGAGTGGTTTTCGATTCCAGCTCGCAGGAAGAAGGCATTTCCCTTAACAGTGTGTTGTTAACTGGTCCTGACCTCAATAACAGCCTACTTGGAGTTCTCATTCGTTTCCGCAATGAGCAAGTGGCGATCATGGCAGACATCCAGAGGATGTTCTATTGCTTCCGTGTCAGAGAAGACCATCGTGACTTCTTGAGATTCCTGTGGTTTAGGGACAACAATCCAACAAAAGACATCAGAGAGTACCGCATGAAGGTGCACGTGTTCGGTAATAGTCCCTCTCCTTCCATTGCCATTTATGGACTTAGGTGTGCTGCAAAAGAAGGTGAGAATAAACATGGTGAAGATACATGTCGCTTTGTAGAAAGACACTTCTATGTAGACGATGGTCTCATTTCCTTGCCCACCGACTTAGAAGCCATCAGTCTTCTGAAGAGAACCCAAGCATCTCTAGCGGAGTCAAATCTTCGTCTTCATAAGGTCGTTTCCAACAGCTCAGCAGTAATGGAGGCCTTCCCACGCGAAGAACACGCTCAAGTCATGAAGGACTTAGACCTCAGCCAAGAAACCTCAGCTATACAGAGGAGTCTCGGATTGTGCTGGGAAACGACCCGTGACACATTCACTTTTAAAGTGTCAGTGGATGACAAACCCTTCACTCGTCGGGGAGTTTTGTCCACTATAAACAGTGTCTTCGATCCCCTTGGTTTAGCTTCTCCCGTCACCGTACAGGGAAGGATACTGCTCCGGGAACTTACCAGTGAGACACATGATTGGGATGCTCCACTTCCGGAGGAGAAACGAGGAGCATGGGAAAGCTGGCGAGACTCACTCCAAGAGTTAAAGGAGTTACACATTCCTCGTGCATACACACCAGAATCGCTTTCCAAAGCTAGACACAGAGAACTATGTGTATTCTCAGATGCCTCCACCAAGGCCATTGGTGCAGTAGCGTATCTTAGAGCTATTGATGAATATGGAAACAGCACTGTCGGCTTCATCTTGGGGAAAGCCAAGTTGGTTCCCGTGTCCCAGCCTACCATCCCAAGGCTCGAGCTTTGTGCTGCAGTTCTAGCAGTTGAAATGGCGGAGCTCATCATAGATGAAATTGACCTCAAAATGGACACAGTGAAATTTTACTGCGACAGCAAGGTAGTTCTTGGATACATCCATAACGAGGTAAAGCGCTTCTATGTGTACGTACACAATAGAGTGCAGCGAATACGCCAGTCAACCAAGCCAGAGCAGTGGTATTTCGTACCTACAGAACAAAATCCAGCGGATCATGTATCCAGGTCCATTCCTGCATCTCAGCTTGCAAAAACAACATGGTTTAGCGGACCACCTTTCCTTCATAGACCTGTTGAGGAGCTGCAAGAGAAATTAGAGTTCTTTGAGGTAATCAATCCAGAGCTAGATGTGGAAGTGCGGCCTGAAGTGTTGAGTTTTCACACACAAGTCCAAAAGCAAAATCTTGGCTCAGATCGCTTCAAGCGCTTCTCCAAATGGACTTCTCTGTTAAGAGCCATTGCCTTCCTGGTACATATAGCGCAGACCTACAAGTCAAAGAATGATTCAAATGATGTCACAGGATGCAAAGGTTGGCACCGGTGCAAACAATCCCATTTTCCACATGAGCTTTCTTGGAGTATGGATGTTATCATCAGAGCTGTTCAGAAAGAAGCCTTTCCAGTGGAATTCTCTGCCCTTGCGGATGGCAACAACCTGCCTAAGAGCAGTCCGCTGTTCAAACTCCACCCTAAAGTTGATGGAGGCCTTTTGAGAATTGGAGGAAGAATCCAACATGCACCTCTGGAGTATGCTGAAAAGAACCCTCTGATCCTACCCAAACACAGCCATGTGTCTATGCTGTTAGTGAGGCATTACCACGAGCAGGTAGAGCATCAAGGCCGTCACTTCACTGAAGGGGCAATCAGATCTGCAGGCTTGTGGATTATTGGTTGCAAGCGGCTCGTCAGTGCAGTCATACACAACTGCATAGTCTGTCGGAAGCTCCGTGGCAAAATGGAAACACAGACCATGGCAGATTTGCCACCCGAGCGCCTCAGCACATTTCCGCCATTCACCTACGTGGGTTTGGATGTTTTTGGGCCCTGGAAGGTCACTGCAAGGCGCACAAGAGGGGGCCATGCAGAGAGCAAGCGTTGGGCCGTGTTGTTTACCTGCATGAGCACTAGAGCGGTGCACATAGAAGTAATCGAGTCCATGGACACTTCTAGCTGCATCAATGCCCTAAGGCGATTCTTCGCAATTCGGGGACCAGCAAAGCAGCTAAGATCGGACCGCGGAACAAACTTTGTTGGTGCTAGGAACGAACTAGAGCAGACCAGGCAGCAATCAGAATCCAGTGTGTGGAAGTATTTGAGTGAGCATGGCTGTACCTGGGAGTTCAATTCCCCTCATTCTTCACATATGGGAGGATCCTGGGAACGCATGATTGGAGTAGCTCGCCGAATACTTGACTCCATGCTTCAGAAGCACAAGGGTTTAACTCATGAGATACTGTGCACTCTCATGACAGAGGTCTCTGCTATCATCAATGCTAGACCCCTTGTCCCAGTTTCCACCGATCCTGATGCTCCATTTATTTTGACTCCCAATACACTGCTTACCCAGAAGGTTGGTGCTTTCCCTCCTATGGAAGGATTATCGGGAAAGGACCTTTACAGAAGTCAGTGGAAGCAGACACAAGTGCTTGCCAGTACGTTTTGGAGCAGATGGAAACGGGAGTTCCTTCCAACACTACAGAGTCGCCGCAAGTGGGCAGAGAGTCGCCGCAATCTGCAGGAAGGTGATGTAGTGCTCTTGAGAAACAGTCAAGTCACAAGAAATGAGTGGCCTGTGGCATTAGTGACAGCTGCCTTTCCCAGTAGAGATGGGAAAGTGCGCAAGGTGGAAATACTAACCACAAAGCATGGGAGCTCAAAGAAATTCGTGAGACCCATCTCCGAAGTAACTCTTCTTTTGCCTAAAGAGACTGAGAGTTAGCATAGTACATAGTGTAAATGTTTATTAATGGCGCCACAGACGCCAGGCGGGGAGTGTTCTGCCTCTAGGCTTTCGAGTGTTTCAAGGTACAGTAGCACCACCCTTTGGTAGAGGCAGGTGTTGCACCCTGGCAGACAGGAAACAGGAAACCAGAGACCCATGTTAGTTCTTGTTGTGGATCTCAGCAGCTTTACATGCCTGTTGTACAATCTGTCGTAATCAAGGGATTTAGCCCATTGTGAGCATTGCCTGTAAGTCATTTCTTACTGTTTACAAGTTTATCTTGCAATATCCAAGAGTATTTATGATTGATGAGACTGTCTTTGCTTGTATTAGCTTAATGAAGCTGGCTGTAGGTTAGGCTGTTAGGCTAGCATAATGTACATGCGTTAGCACTCTATCTTTTATATAGTCATGCTTAGCTAACATGTTCAAACCTCCATCATTTGTATGTTAGTAATTCAAAATATGTTTTATCATTTTCAGTTTACTCCTTTGTTGTACCAACATGCTCTTCAAGAGTCTACACTAAAATTGGAGCTAGAATGCTAAATCCTGACTCTCGTGTTGTTATTCTGGGAGTTTGGCTGGCTGTCTAATTTTGGTTAAGCCAAACCATTAGGAGGACAGTACAAATGTATCAACAGAACATCTACAACATATTTACTTCAATGTATTCAGATGCTTCACTACTGCTGCTTCACTGATATGTTGTTGAAATGTTACTAATAATCTGTTAAGAAATAATAACATACTTATAAATAATTATAAATGTGGCTAAAATCTTTATTAAAATGCATTACACTTTATGTCCATGTTTATTAATTATTATCAGTAGTCTTCATAACATGTTATATAATCAGTGCCAAAGAAACCTAGTAACAAACTAGAGTCTGACTGACACAGGATTTTTAAGACCGATATTGATTTTGATATTTGATGATTTTAAAACCTGATATATCAGCCAATGTACTCTTTTTTTCTTTCAAAAATACATAATCAAAGCCTTTCCCAAACATTTGTTGTGTACACTCTCAGAAAAAAGATACGAAACTGTTATTGGGGCATTACCCCTCTTGTCACTGGGGCAGTGGGTGGTACCCTCAAGTGTACATCTCTGTACCTTTAGTCAGTCAATCCACTGAAATGATATGTTCTAAGCTGTACTGACTCCACACACCCCGTCTCGTCTCCAGGCTTTTTATTTTATTGTTCTGTTTTAAAACATTTAGTTATGAAAAGGTACAAATACAAACTTTTCACCTGGAAAAAAAACTTATTTAAGGTTCACAATCAGACCTTAAAACCACTGTTGAACCTTTGAGGTACGTTTACATTGTTTATACCTTGATGAATGAAAAATGTACCTGCACAGAACCTTAATTTCTAACAGTGTAGTTACTCAAGAGTCCTCACCAAGATAGCATGGCATAATGCCCTTTAAAAATAAACATTTTATTGTCAAAAATAATACAACTATACCGGAACTTTGTTTTGAGATGTGAATGACATATTAAGCCCTGTTAGATACGTGTTCAGCTCATGTATCTTTATGTGACCTCTCTGGTTTAATAATTTCCAATGACTACAATAATTACTGACAATAAATCTCAGGCAATAACTCTTGCAGATATATTTACCATTGCTACATTTAGGCTGAATAAGTTAAATGTTATAGTTTAACCACTCATTAATGTTAGCTGTTTTCCGCTGATAAACAGCTTTATGATTTATCAGATAAAGGTGTTACACAATCATGTTTGTCAATATCTTAGCCTTCACTACTCAACTACCAATACAGTACATGTAGGCTAATTTGATGTTTTCCTGTCTGCACCTGGCTTCTATGTGACTCCAGCAAAAGCAGGCATGGCTGGCATGAATGTTGCCAGGCTTATTTAGGTTAAAAGGAGAAGTGATGTGGATATTTTTATTATTATTTAAGTAAATGTATTTCACATGACAATTGTCAACTTACCATGAATGCAGATTAAGCTCACCAGACAAAAAAATTGTCCCCTGTGACTGAAACATACCTAATAGCGGGTAATACCTTCATGAGCATGTACAACAGCTGCGATTCGTTCATGAACCGGACAAGTTTCTGGATGTAGGCGACATCAATGTTTAGCTTGCATCAAAGAATTGCGCAGTTTGGCCAGATTTCGTGGATGCCTTCCCAGGCGTCTTACTCGCTGTTCCAGGTAATCCCACAGACTTTCAAGAGGATTCAAATCTGGGAATTTTGCATGCCAGTCCAGATGTGTGAATGCTCCAACACTCTCCAACAATTTTTATGTCTCGTTGCCCATCGTAACTGGGCAACTTTGTAAGCAGAAGTGAGCAAAGGCTTCTTGCATACCACTCTGCTCCATATGTTCATTGTGTTCATTGTGGGTTCCCTGTGGAGTGTTCTTTCAGAAATTGATTGTGAAGAACCTGTGTTGACTTCTAGAAGCAATTCTTGCCTGGAGGCTAAGCGATTATTTATTCACAAGCTGTGAAACATGCTGGGGGTCCCTGTCCATCAGTTTTGTCTTTCGGCCACAATTCCGACAAGAATTTCCTGTAGACTGGAATTTTTGCCACTGCTGGTCCACCCATATGACCATACGCTTCGATACACCCACAAATTCAGCTACTTTCTTCAAACTATGGCCTTTGGTACTCCCAAACAAAATCAACTCCTTTTTGCCAATCATTAACATCTGCTTTGCAACCCATTTTTGAATGAGACATTCACTGCACTGTACCACCTCTTCTCAATCTATGAATCCCGTCACACACCCCGCAGGTTTTTTATTATCCTGATGCAATGTTATCTGCGGGATCCTTAAGTTATTACCACCTTAAACACCCAAGGTGACTAATTTTTTGTCCAGGAGGCTTATCTCCATCTTGGAGTACTCTGCTCAACTCTGCTTGGGTCAGCTGTTTGTTGTGATTTGTGTCATTCAAAACAGGAGCACTGCCTTTGATGGACAAACTACACAGCAACAATACTCATAATATGGTTGAAGGATCTGTCATTTGCCAGACGTTACAAATGGTAATAATGATTTACCTGTAATTAGCTCATATTGGCCGATAATATCTGCACTGTAGTCAGGCTCTATAACAAACCTGCCTACTCATAAACACATGCTGAGCCATGCTATGATTTCTTTTAATAACTTATGGAATATACTAATTTGATAAAGAATAAAAGTTATTTAACTCATTCATTTATTTGTCATTTTAATGTATTGTAACATGTCTTTGTAAGCTTCAAGTGACAGAAAAATATAAGACAATGGAATTCCCAACAACCCCCTGGAACTCCTGGTAGACCACCAAGCTCTCCCTACCAGATAAATAGCACTTAAAACTTTCATCACTGAATAAAATCAAGCACCATCCTTGCTTCAGATCTGAACAAATCTACATCCATCCTTCCACTGTGAGAAGACAACTCAGTGCTATGGGTCTGAAAGGATGTGTAACTGTTAGGAAGCCTCACTGAGAAAAGGCAGTAGAGCTTAAAAGTTTTAGGAGAAAATGAAAGCAACTTCTAAGACTGAACTTTGGAAAGATATGCATTTCTTTGAAAAAGTACGCCTTTCAAAAGAATGGAAGCTGAAATAAAGGCGAACATTGGAGATAATTTACTGAAAATTTAGTGTTATACTGTATGTAGTTGTTGAGGATTTCATGTAATTTTCTGATCCATTTTTTGCTTTTTTCTGATGCTGAAAGATGAATAACTGCACAGTTAAATTGCACAGTACTGTAAATAAATACAATTAATCAACCAAGAATGATTAACTCTTACTCAAAGTTTTCACTCAGCTACTAATAGATCCCTAATGACGAATCCCTGACGTAAATGATCCCACTTCAAGTCAGCATAATAAAGCCCATATTTTCTAATGATCAAAGCACAGAGCATGATTGGCCAACTGTTTCCAAAAATTAGAACATCATTCATGTACTGGAATTGCACTGCAGTGTGAAAGGGTGCTTTATCTTTTTCCTCCCCAAGAAAGTATGCATCATCATGACAGACTGATATTAGAGGAGGGAAAGAATTATTTGTCTTTGGGCGATGCCTCAAGGTTTGCAGTGATCATTAGAAAAGCTAAAACATTTATTTGCAGGCACACAGGCAAGTGTTCCTAATTATTTCTGAGCAAACCAAATAGCTGGGAAGGAAAATGATGGCAGGGCTGACTGAAATGAGGATAGTGTTGTTGACAGACCCAACTGAGCCCAATAGTAATAACTGTTCCAAGCCTGTTCTTGTAAGAGAGTGCAAACTAATATGTAGCCAAACAGCTTTAAGTAGAATATAACATTCCCATAGCAACATCATTTTGGAATTTACACATCAACAAGACAGATATTTCACCCTCAAGACTGCGTTTGTACCATAAATGTATATAAGTTAGCAGTTCCCACCGTGAACAGTAAGTAACACTTTTACTGCAGCCCCCTTGATGCCCCCCCACAGCCACCCAGAACACCTCAACCCCCAGTTTGAGAACCACTGCTATTAGTCACATCGAAATTTTTTATTGGTGTCTTTAATATAGCATGTTTTGCTGCATATGACACAAAGACAGAGAGCTAGCCAGGCTAAAGTTTAGCCTCCACTTGGTGGAGGTAGTTTGAACATGGTGTTATCATTGATGTTCGAACAAATGCACAAAGCAGACGCAAACCTGTTGATAAAGAATGTAAACTGGATGAAAAATGTGAACATACCATATAGGTGCATTTTGTAGGTTTCCAGTTCTTGACTGTAGCCAAGATTGGCTGGATTGTTGGTGCACCATCCTTTAGCCACCCTCTATCCCATTTATCAAAAAGTGACCACTGTGGTCCTGTGGTAATATTGGTGCTTTGGCCTTACCACGTCAGGGTCACCTATAGTGGACCATTCTCAGCACAGCAGTGACCATGTAGACATGGTAGACACCAAAGATTAGTCCTTTGGCCTTAACCATGTCAGGCTCACTGCTATGTTGAGAATGGTCCACCACACAAATACAGACCTGTGGTCAGAAACCAATGGAATAGAGGGAGTCTATAATAAAACTGCCATTGACTATAAGTATTTCATGTGGCGTTAACAATATTTTGTTAACTCTTGTATGTAATTCAGTTTGCAGTTGTATTATATTTAAATAGACCGGTTAAATCATGTCAGTCATGAATGTTTTGCATGTCCAAGATCAACACTGTAGTGACCCTTAGTTCAGCAGTTCTTCTGCTGCCATCCCAGCAGGTCAAAGTGTCTATTTTGGCCTCAGAAGCTGAGAAGCGGATTTGAGAAGCTCATCACTTCACCTATTTCCACACCAGCCTAAAGCTCAGCCAGGCAGCTGATGTGCGTGTTGTTGCTAAGGTAACAGAATAGTGAGAGCACTCCAACACTACACTGTGGAATGAGGAAAATACATGTGGATCTTGCTGCTACAACTCAGCAATCCACTGGACATATAGTACTTATCTGTGCCTCGACATTGAAGCATGGCTGGAATTTTGCCTAAACTGTTTTGGTAACACTTTTTATGAATGTCACCTTTGTAAGCATCTATAAACGCACTCATAA